CTCTGTGTCTCTCTGTGTCTCTGTGTGTCTCTGTGTGTCTCTGTGTGTCTCTGTGTGTCTCTGTGTGTCTCTGTGTGTCTCTGTGTGTCTCTGTGTGTCTCTGTGTGTCTCTGTGTGTCTCTGTGTGTCTCTGTGTCTCTGTGTCTCTGTGTCTCTGTGTCTCTGTGTGTGTGTGTGCGTCTGTGTCTGTGTGTCTGTCTCACACTTTCTTGCCTCAGGGTAAGGAAGGGAAAGGGAATGTACCCCCCCAGGCGGCCCCCATATGTTAGGGGAAGCATAACTGTCACAGAGCTTTCTAAGGCAGACATCAGCCGGTCGGCCAACAGTGCTGCACAAAGGTAAGCTAGCAATCGAAGATCAACACCACCGAGGTAGAAAGGTCAATCCCAAGAGTAGATCAGCTGTGACACACACACACACACTCTCTCTCTCTCTCTCTCTCTCTTCTTCGCGGCTGCATGTTAAAATGTCTGCTGGTCCACAAAGGGCTGTATGAGTAGAACAGAAGCAACTGGACTTCTGACACTGCTTTCCCCTGCCTGCTCGCTCCGCTTGAGGGCGGCCGCCCTGCTCAAGGATGCAACTTGCGCGTCTGAGAAGCACCCCCCTTTTTTCAGGCTCCCGTGGGTGACCAGAACCCCTCTTCCCCGGCGACATCCCCAGAACACAACGAGATGATGTCATGACAAACACGTCGATTCCAACAGTAAATTATCAACTCATGAGGAATTTGAGCCATATCCACTCCTGAAGGGGTGACCTTCGCACCCACCTCTTGGGGTTTTCTTGGAGCACATTGCTCCTCGAGCTGTGCCATAAAGATGCCCGTTCTCAAGACCTGAGCGAAGTGCCTCGCAGCCAGCTCTGCAGCTTTCTGCGCCAACTCCGGTGGAGCCTGCGGAAGAATTCACAGGTGAGTGGTCGGAGCTACTCTGGCTCTGACTTCATGTCGGCCCAGAACCGGCTTGGCACCTGCTCGGCCGCATCCAGCACATCCGCAGCAGGCATCCTGGGAGATCTCCGCAAAGGAAACTGGGGTGACTCAGGGGGCGGGGGGCCTTCATTATGCTGCACTTTGCTCCCCAACCTTCTCCTGACTCTTGAAACCCCTAAACGCCCCTAAAGGGCCCTAAACCGCCAATAGTTTCCCCGAAAAACACGACCTTGCGGAACTCAGAGAGATCTCGGGTTCCAGCGAAGCCTCGGCCTCGCAAGCTGAGAGCCGCGAGCGCAGTTGCTGAACCTTCTTGTCGGCGGCTTCCATGTTTCTTGTAGAGTTGCAGCTTGTCTTTTGCGGGCCCTTTTCTATCAGGATTATCAGCATCGAGAGTTTTGGCTTCAGGATTGAGGGTTTAGGGCATTAAGGTGGTAGCTAAAAACCAAGAAGACGGCCTTGGTAATGATTGTTGGGCTTGCAGATTCGACTAGTTGCAACAAACGTCATCAGCAAAGCAGCGGCCATACAGTAGTCGCTGTAGGCAGAAGAATAACAAAGTAGAAATGCAGCAACAACAATCGCACATCTAGTAAGACTAGCAGCTGCAGTCGTCGTCGTCGTCGTCGTCTCGCCATCATCCTCGTGGTGGCCATCACCGTGGCCGCGAAACTGGAACTAGTAGTGGTGCTTCTACGAGTCATAACAAGTAGCATCGCTATCGTGGCCAGTACATGTATATAATATGTGCAAATACATCTACACACAAGAACAAGCAAGTGCATTATACCTTTATTCACACACACATATGTATAGATACACATGTATGCACACACGTATACACATGGACATCGATATCATTTTGTCTATACATATATACATCTATACCTCTCTATGTAAATACTATGCATGAGAGTTTTTGTGTGTGTGTCCACACATATGTATATATATATATACACACACTTGTACGTACATATACGAATATATACCTGTGATTATGTGTGTGTGTGTGCGTATATGTATATATATATATACGCACACACAGAGAGACATGTGTGACATGTAACTTCAATATGAAGCTCAACGAGCAGTGGCCTGGCCTCTCGCCTCATCTCAAGGAGTGGTCCGGTGTCTGTGGGCGGAGGAGGGTGCTGAGCCTGAGACCCAGGCAGCGGCTCAGGTTTTGGGGTTTTGGGGGCTGTTGGGTTTCAGGGACTCTGAGGGGTTTGCAGCTTTATGGCTGCACGTCGACATGACAAGCCACGCATACCAAACACCAGACCTCGCACATCCTCTCAGCAAGCGCGAGCATCTTCGTCAGGGGGAGCTACAGTTGCTCACAGCTAATGAAGTTTCAGTGCGTCTTCGGGCAGCTGCCCGAGATTTTTGCTGCAGTTTGATTTCTCATCCGTGTAGGCGCAGAATTCGGATGTATGGAGCTGATAAGTCACTGGTACCAAGTGTTCGATGCGACCAAGGTCGACACCTCCACCGCTTTCAACTCTTCCTTCAGCCTCAGCAACAACCCAAGGCGGATTTGATGAAAGAGAACACAATAAAAACATGCCTAGTGCAGTCCTTCACTGTCGAGAACAGAAGACCTGTTCATCTGACTGAAGCCTGTTACAAGGAAGCCCCGGGACCCCCTCTACACCGGCCATGGCACCACAAACAGCCAAAAATGCTAGGGTTGTGGCCAGCGCTTTCGGTGCTCCGCTGCATTCCGCGCCACCGTGGCAGACGCCAAATCCTGCAAATACTGGACAGGAATCAAACCGCAAAGACTTGAACAATAATGATGACAACGCTTAGTACAGTACTACCTCAAATCCTGAGGAGGGGAGGCCCGAGGCCATGCATTGCAAGAGAAAAGACGACGCAAGAAATGAACAGGCCACACCCCCGACAACGAAGCTTGGCTCAGGGATCCCAGTCTCGAAAATGCGCACTACAGTCTACTTTCGGGTACAGCAAAAAAGGCTTAGGATTCGGAGTGCGGATTTTTGCTTATTTCACCATTTCACCAAGCCTGCATCGCGTCCCCTTTGTTGCCAGCTGCAGCTGCAGCAGAACCTGCCAATAGACCGGCCTCGCGAAACGTGCGAGAAGTGACGTAGGGTTCGCTTCTTGTTGGCTTACGGTTCGCTTCTTGAGAGTGTAGGGCGTACAGTTCGGCAGGATTTCGGGCATTTACTGTCAGCTTTTGTTATGGGTTCAGGGAGAATGCAAGGCACTCGGACAACCTCGTACCTGTTGCAAGTACCTGATCCATGCGATCAGGGAGACATACTCCCGATCATGCACCCCCCAGGGTTCCCACTACCACTAGACTTGAAGAAGGTTAGGGATGGTTCGTGATGGTTCTTTTGCTTGGAGTTGGGGCCGATCCGATCCCCAACATCATCTCCCCAAGCCCAAGCAGAAGAGGCCTCCAGGGCAGCTCTCTCTGCCGCAGCTTCCAGCTCCAGCTGAGTGTCCTGGCTGGGTCAGAGCTGATGAGGCGTGGCCGTTTTCCGGAAATCTCATGAAACCCCGATGTCTGTAGGAAAACTGTGAGATCCCCAATTGGACTCTTCGTGGCTCTTTTACTGGCCATACCCTGCCATGGTCCACTGCGCACAAAGCTTTTTGCACCGGAAGAAGGCCTAGATCATGCAGAACCTCGAACATCTGACCGCAAAGGACTGGACAAGTTGAAAATTTACCCTCTGCCTGTAGGGTGGCCTGCATAGCCCTGCAGCGATCCTCATGAGCCTGGACAAGACTATTTAGATTCAGGAAACATTTGCTACGCTGATTCAGGAACAGGTCACAGATCTCCGTCTTGCCAAGGGCTCTTTTGCTCACACATAGAAAACGCGATGGTGACGCCGCGCTGTCGGTGAACATGCCGCGTTCTTCCATGAAACCTGTAAGAGAAAAGTGTGTGTGTGTGTCTGTGTGCGTGAGTGAGTGAGTGAGTGAGTGAGTGAGTGAGTGAGTGAGTGAGTGAGAGTGAGTAGCGAGTGAGAGAGACAGAGAGATAGAGTGTTGGATTTCTTTTCCTCTGGCGGTGGCGAAACACTGCAGTCGCTGTAGAAGGGCTTTCGTCCCATCGGCAGCAGGTTTGCACCGCCTTGTACCGTCCATGAGTCCATGGTAGTCGTACGATGAAAAGCTGTTGCAGCATGGGCAGCACGACAAGTGCTCGAAAATTTCCTTTAACCGTAGATGTCAGTCAATGCATTGACTACAGGACGAAGACGCACTAAGTCGGATTAGATTGATTGGACGGCTGCAACCAAGAGCCCCGACATGGTGCTGTTGCTCCCGGCTCTCGTGCAATGGAAGATTTCTGTCCGTGACAATGAGCAAGATCGGTCTCTCTTGGGGTCCAAAGACGACAATAGTAATAGTAAGAATCTAAACGACGACAAAGCATCATTGTTGCTGAGATGACGAAATCCTCCGGGCTTTGGGAAACTTGGGCCATGCCTCCGCACGCTCGTTCATAGAGGCATCCAGATCCCGGCGCTGCACCACGGATCGTTGGAGCGCCTGGACACGCCTACCTGTTCTTCCTTTCTTCTTTCTAGCTACCATTCTTCTCGTTCTCTGCACCATAAACACAGAACTACTTGCAAGAAAAAGGTAGAAGGCTGCTCAAGCTAAGGTCGTTGACCCTGAACCGTAGTCTGGAAGTCGACCACACCTCTGCCCACCGATACTGGCATGGAATTGTTGAAGCAAGTTTTTGTTCGCGGTTGAACCCCAGAACCGCCGGGTACACTCAAACGAAGTGCACTTCCAGCTTCAGAAGGGTTGCCTAGGTCCAACAAGAGTATACAGAATACAGGCAGGCCATGCATCCTTGGGCAGTCGGCAACAAAATGCCAAGAGACAGCAAAGCGAAGTGCAGCGAGCTCTTTGGTTGCAGCGGCGGCTATGGAGCGCGAGATTGGAAACGGTTTGGGATGCACGGGTGCAGGGAGACACGCTGGCCCAGGCCATTGCCCGGACATTTCTCATGTACACAGCGCTTGATGTATGCAGTATGCAATGTATTTACACAAAGCTGCTGTGCAAGACATGCCTCCATTGAACACATGCAAACGTACACATGTACTTACATACTTAGTTACACGCATGCATACATGGTACAGCATACACATGCATACATGCGTCCATCCGTCCATCCGTCGTTCCGTCTGTCCATCCATCCTTCAATCCATTCTTCAATCCATGCATGCAAGAATCGTGTGTCTGTATATCCAGGTACATGACATGTATCTAGATATACAGACGCACACATTGAGTGTAATGATCACACATCTGCACGCATTCGTATACTCGTGCACAGACAGACTGCGGCTGTTGCCGCTTGTTGCCCACTCCTAAATTCCGTGCCTTCTTGCCTTCGCTATGCTTGATATCTGACAGCGGGGGACTGGGGCTTAAAACTTTGTTGAAAGCTACGGACTTACAAGCGTTGGAAGTTTCAGTGAGAAAAGACATGAAAAACAGCCAGCCAAAGGTACGACATGTAAGCTTCATGCGAGTTCGTAACTTCATGGTGTGCGAGAAGTAGGGCACAGTTGCCAAACCGGTTCACAAGATCAACATCATAATCAAGACCAAGATGACCGTTACGACTCATAACTTCACAATAAGACGAACCCATGTCCTGTGATTTCAAAAAAGAAAAGGAGACCTGGTCCGACGTCCTCTCCCTGTCTTTCGTGCAGCCAAGGTGAATTATCCCCAGAAGCCTGCCGAATCTCTGAGGTACCCATAACATGTCAAAGCAGTCGCTTACTGTAAACAGTACCTTGAGACAGAGAACATGCTGCTCATCGACAGCGTCTTCATAGCTTCGTGGCGCTGATGATTTAGATCCTGGAGTCCAAGACGAGATAAACTTCCCATCACGCTACAAGGTTCAAGGCCTTGAGCTTGAGACCAGCAAAGGACTGGGGAAAAAAAACAAAGAGTGGGAAAGGCGGGGGAGGGGGAAGGGGAGAGAGAGAGAGAGAGGCAGAGAGGGAGAGAGCTGCAAACTAACCCTTCCACCTGACACTTTCAGTGTTCAAGGCTCCGACGAGGGTGAATCTGTACAAGCTCTGGAGAGGTCTGGTCCGTCTCCAGCCATGTGGGAGCACTTCCGGGAGTGACTCAACCATAACACAGAGTGCTCTCGCGGACACAAAGGTTCAACATGCCGACAGCCGGGTGGCGCGGAAGCCAAAACCCGAAAGGCATGATGTAGATGACCGATTATCTGAGTGTGCCATTTCCGGGAACCTTCCTTGCTTTGAAGGGGCGCGCTGCTTCCACACCCCGAACACCGACCCTCTATTCTGCTCTGCTGCTGGAACAGCTGAACGCTCTCGGGCGTCTCACCGGAAGCCTGGGTGCATCAGCAGCAAAAGTGAAAGAACATCTCATCCAAAACGTCTGTTCTCCACAGACAAGCTTCCACCGCAGAACTTTGCAAAACGATGCAGGCATTGGAGTTGACGAACTCGGTCTGCCACTTTGTCATATTATATGTAAACGTCCCAACAAGTTTCTGCTGGGATGCCTTGCAGAAATCTCGTTAGTCCACGTCCTAAGCTGCTCAGCAGGCAATCACCAGAACCTAAAAGGTCTCGGATTCCCGGATACTGTTACGACCACCATTGCCTCTCTAATGAATTGAATCATTCAGGAGCCCAGTGTCGAGCTTCTCGGTCTCTGCCTCGGCATCCATCATCGCCGCCACCCCTGCATCGTTCAGTTCCTGCTCGCCCTTGCGATTGTAGTGGAACCTCGTCTGGCGAAGTCTTTCTTCGATGGCAGTGCGCATCAGCAGCAGCTCTCGTGAGAAGACTACGCCATGCAGCGGACTGAGTCTCACACAGCTTGGGGTGCGTGCCTGAGTCATAACATAGGCCTGATTAGTCCCTCATGGCATCTCATGGCAACGATGATGCGGGCTCGATAACAGGAAGAGTACAAGAGCATGTTTGATCGGTGCATAGTAATTAATCATGAGATGGCGTTGCTTCTCTGACAGTCAGCAGTATCTGGAAAAGCACATCCCACCAGCTACAGCACAAGCAGCTTCCAAGTTCAGCCGTGCGTCCGTAAACTTTGGAGTACGGCGTTATCACATGAACCTGGCACTCTCATTGAGCCATACTTGGACGAACGGAGAAGTGGTGCAATTAAATAGTGCAGGGAGCTGTGTTCATCGGCGTTGGGCAGAACTCGACTTCCTTTAACTCCTTTGACCCACTCATAGAGCCTGAACAACATCTCGATAGTCGGAAATCGTCTCTACAAGCAGCGCTCGTGGACACAGCATGCTGTCACACGAGCAGTCTGTCACAAAAGCAGCGTCCGCAATCCAAGCGGTCATAAGCTGTCGCATCTTTGCCAAGTGTCCTGGTGCACTCTGACGCCGCGCGTCTTCAGTCTCGGCGAGCACTGGGCTGCCTAAAGCACATATTATGCAAATTCTACTCCCATGGAAGATTGCCACCGCACAACTTGGCCTGCCAGCTTCGGAAGGTAGCCCGGCTTCTTCGCCGTCACTTTGGCTGCAGGCGTCCGTGGAAGATTTCCGGCGCTGATAACGCGAGCCAGATCTTCGCAGGGGTCATCAAGAACGCTGGAAACAGCAGCGGCCACATTGGGTTTCGGGTTTCGGGTGTGGTTTAGGGCCTAGTGCTTTGAGTTGAGAGATTAAGGTTTATAGTTCCCAATGTCTTTGTACAGAAACTCATGGCAGGGTGCCGGGTACGTAAGACCAAGGGCCGAGGATGCGGTGAGTGGAGCGGCGCCAAGATACATCTACAGCCCTGAAGAGTCATGCCAAGCAGAGAAGTCCACGCATCTCTTCATGCGACAGAAAGCACACTTAGCACTATCTATCTGGACGGAGTTGACATACCTAGGGCCTAGTTTACTCCTGGGTTCATCCGCTCTCCTAAAGAAATCGACGCTGCCTGTTGCAGTGCCCGTTACACAAAGGTCGTCTTTGGCAGAAAAGCCTCGGGTCGTAGCTCTTGGAGCACCGGAAGGAAGGGATATGAAGGGATTCACGCACATGTGTAAGCCAATGAGGTTCCTTATATATATATATATACATACATACATATACACACATACATACACAGACACACTTCACATACATAGATACGTACATACATGCATGCATACATACAGCATGCACACATACGTCATACATACATACATACATACATACATACATACAGACAGACAGACAGACATACATACACACATGCACATACATGTTCATATGCGCATATCCCCCTTTACACATACCTTTACATATATATATATATATATGTACACATACATAAATATGTGTATGCAAATAAACAAATAGATATATGTACATAGATACACTTATACCTATATAGATGTATGTATGTACGTCTTTTCTAGTTGCACACATCTCTTCTGAAGAACAACGTAATGAGTGAATGGATGGTGGCTGGATGAACTATCACATGAAGAACAGGATAAACACCACAAATGGGGTCCTCAAGGCATGCATGTGTACTCAGAAAAGTACATCCTCACATGATTCCAACTCGGATGGGCGTTACAGCGATTTGATGTCCACCTGATTTTGTTCGCTGTTTTGGCAACTCGGAGCATGTAACTCGGATGTGAAGACTGGCTCTTCTGTTGACAACAGCAGCACCCTTACCGACAGCGCTCGAACGGACAACAAAACCACAACCACCATGAACAAGCGCACAACACCTGTGCCGGCAAAGAGCTTGAGGTTCCCTTGGGCACTCGGCTGTGCAAAGGTGTAAGCTGAGGGCGGCTGTTCAGCCTGCTGCACCGAGGCATGTGAAGAGGGCGCTTGACAATCTAAGAGCTGCGAAGAGCTGCAGGTCCAACAGCGAAGAGTCGACAAGCCTGCCGCTGCTGGAAGCCCGCCGCATAGGCTTTGCCCGTGCAGACGTGGAGGGAGAAGAGGGTGTGGATATGAGGAGGTTCGGCCTCGGTCGAGAAACGACGCGGCCGGGACAGACGGGAGGCGAGGAGGGGTGCTCTCAGCTTCGGCCCAAGGACCCTTCGAAGGAGATGAGGCTGGGCTTGGCTCCGGCTGCTCCAGCTCTCTCTGCGCTTTCCTGGCAGCAAACTTAAGCAAACACTTCCCAAACTGCAAAAGCTGTAGTCGCTGCTGTGTGGCACTGCTGCGATTTCAGCAGATAGCAACAATGGACTTGGAGTACCAGCTCTACAGTCCTGGACCCCCCAATTCAAGCAAGGACCACCTTCAACTCTAAGTCCAAAGCCCTGACCTAGTAACAGAAACCACAAAGTCTAAAGCCCTAAACATCCCTAAACCCTAAAGGCCCTGAACATCCCTAAACCCCTCAAAGGAGCGTGCTTTGCACAGCTGGGTCCTCCCGAATCAGCAGCGGTGCAGGTCGAAACCGCCTCGAGTCAAGCTGGTACTTCAGGCTCAACTTTTACGGTTTAGGGCTTTAGGGTTTTAGGGTTTTAATTTTTAAGGTGTATTTAGGGTTTAGGGCTTTAGGGCTTGAGAGTTTTAGGGTTTTAAGGTCTATTTAGGGTTTAGGGCTTTAGGGCTTTGTGGCTTTGGGGTTTTAGGGTCTCAGGATTTAGGGTAGTCGCCTGAAGTTTTACACGGGGGCCCTTTCCCTGCCAGTCGAAAGGTTAGCCTTCCCGGATCGACGGCCTGGGCAGTTCGGATGACACGCGCGGGTAGCTGCCAGTTTCGGATGGTGGGGTAGGCACCCTAAACCCTAAACCCTGTTGCAGTCCGATTTTTGCAGGCCCAGGCCTGAAACTGATCATGAGACCGAAACTGGCCGAAACTTCGCCCCGAAACTCAGCAACGAAAGTAACCTCGAAAACCCTGAAACTCACAACTTCCGTGTAGGGTTTGGGGTTCCTTTGGGGCTTTATGGGACCGGGGGATTGGTGGGGAGGGGGTTCCGTTACACTACGCTTAACAGGGATTTGGGGATTGAGGCTTCGAGGACCAACAGACTTCCCTTGTAAGTACTATCGGCCTCATAATTAGTGTTATCATGACCTCCCTAAACCCAGAAAACCTAAACACATGAACCCTAAACCCTCAACCCATAAACCTGATGGGAGTACCCGCCTTGAGGCGGCCTCTGACGTCTCTCGCCGTTGGGCGGGGGCCATGGCCACGAAAAAACTCAGAGGAGAGCGGCTTACAACACCTCCTACAGTAACTACTCTCTTGTCGGCTCTGGGTTTGGGAGAGGTCAAAGTTTCAGGCTTGCGTACCAACAGCTTGGCCTTCAACTTTGCCTGTCGACTTCTGTGGGGGCCCTGCATGCGGAACACTTCCATGGCCGTGTGTGTCCGCGAGCCAGTGTGTAATCACACCTTGCGGTAAGAGGAAAGCATATTCGATGCGACGGACGAGTCTGGCAACATGTTTGTTGAACCAACCAGCCCGAGATAGCCCGAGTGCTCCTTCTTCAAGTCTTTCGTCAGGTCCACAATGTCGTTGCGGCCTCATCGCTGCAAACCGCTCTGGAGTAGCCTTGCTGCAAAAGCTAATGATTGCAGGTTTACTGAGCTCTCCTATGTCCAGCCTTCGCTTCAACCCCACAGACGACGCCCCAAACGATCCAAAGAGAGTTGCAGCAACCGTCCACCCTCAGCCGAAACGCCGCATACAGCTGAGAACTCAACCTTGTGGCTCGTCCACCTCGAGGTCGAAGCAATTACACAATTGTGGTGCAGATGCTCCAGTGCCATGCAAAATGCATGCATTGGTAATGGGTCAGCCGTTGGTACAAGTGCAAAAACACAGTCTCAGCTCGAAACAGCAGCACCCGTACTGAGTTGTGGCCTCACCTCCTGCCTGATTTTGGCGCCTCTTCATCGAGATGCTCACTCTCAGTCTCAGCATAACCACGATCGATATCACCATCATCATCATCATCAGCAGCATCATCATCATCTGTCATCATCAGCCGTCATCACCAGCCTTCAACATCGTCGACTACAACATCATCGGGCCCCCAAAAGCCCATGCCAAAGCTCCAAGTGCCTCCAAAGCCGGCCGCCTGTTGATGAGGAGTGGGGTGTCTGAGATTAGGGGTCCTTATGCAAGGAGGAACGTATTACTGCTGAGCGCCTTTGAAAGGGGGCACTGCCATATCTGCGAGGGTTTGGGGTGGAGGCGTCAGGAGATTGGTTGTCTGAGCAGAATTTGTACTTGCGCTTCTTTGTGGTGCAGGGGCGCATCCAAGGCACATTGCATGAAAGCTACACGCTGGCAAGATGTTTGGACGGGGTACCCAGGCTTCTGCTTGAGCATCATGCCACCACCAGATTCTCTTGGTATTCTCCACCGCCCGTTCTTCAAAACGATGGAGTACTTACGTGGAACTGCAAGCTGACCTCATGAATCCAATACTCGGTTCCCGCGAATTGTTGGCGGCTTATTTTGGGCCGAGGATCGACGGTTGCACTATGCTGCACTGATGTGTCCTCCTTCTTTGCGGCTATGCTGCCTCCATCTGGCCCGCTCACCAGCGACTTCGGAGGGGTCGAAGTCCTCACGGAGCACCTGACAAAAACAAGGCTTGCTCGGTGCGCTGCGCACGAGTCTTGGACGGGTTCTTTCTGAGCCGCTTGGGACAGCTCAATAGCCCTGAAGCCCCAAACCCTGAAACCGTAAGCCCTTGAAGCCCTAAACCTTCATCTCATCTCAAATGCCCTTCACGTGCAGCGTGGCAGCCAGGCTGATGCAGTAGCAACATCACAAGTTCTCGGGAGGGGCCTAAGGATTAAGCCAAGGGGTTCAGAACATGCTGCAGGATTTCCCAAGAGTGGCCTGAACTCCGTTCAGCGACGTCGGGAGGTAGCAGCAACTCAGAGGGACGGGTTTCGGAAGGGGACATGGCTTGTTCGACAGTAGCACAGCAGAAGAAGAATACAATGGAACGTATGCGACCACGCTAAATAGACTACAGAAAATCATGCCGATCTTGACAGGGATAAGTTTGTGGACACTCTTCTACTGCCTGTTGCTGTTTCCTTGTTGCCATCTCTGTAATTACTCTTGCACCATCTCTCCTTTGTGAGGCCCTGCTGTCCCGAATGTAAAATATAAGCTAAGAGCATTCGAACGTTCAGCGCTGTCCAGCAAAGCAGGGGCTCTGGCTGGCCAACTTTTACCCACTCGCCATGTCTCTTGCCAACCACCACCTCGTGCAAGAATGGCTTTGGCCATCGAGTGCAGGAAACGCAGCGCCGGAATGGCATGATGAAAATGATGATGATGATGACGATGATGATGATGATGACGACGATGATGACGATGATGACGATGATGGTGATGATGATGATGGCGAAGATGATGATGATGATGATGATGACGATGATGACGATGATGACGATGATGGTGATGATGATGATGGCGAAGATGATGATGATGAGGAGGAGGAGGAGGAGTACGACGTCGACGACGACATGATCATGAGGCAGAGGATGCTGCTGACTAGGAGGCGGCGGACGTGGAGGAGGAGGGTGCCCGCATCCTCCCCCATTTACCAACAACTACAGCATATATGCGTGCTATGTGTGGCGAGTCGGACTTGTTCATTGAAGCTGAAGAAACTCTCGGATTCCATCGGCAGTCGCATCTGCCCCGTACATGACACTCCTTGCCTGACCCCACATGGCAGTCTTTCCGGCATCGACCTGGTGTGCTCAGATTTGGTAGTCTTGCGACAGCTTTCAAAGGATAAGTCTCGTGCATCGTCCAAGCTCTTCGAGAAGAAGTAGCTCAAACCTGCCATGCTGGCTGGGATGACGGTATCTGAGCACAGGACGACTCCCCGCTTGCTGCATAGTCACGGAATGCTTGAGCGAACCCTCACTCGGGCCTGACGTTGGTGCCTGTCAGGAATGCTGCCAGGCTTGTGCTCAAAGACCTATGCATGCAAGCTTGGAGAAAGCAAGGGTCCTGCAACAACAACAGTCGTATAGTCAGTCTAGCGAGAAAATAATCGTGAAGGATTCATTTTGCAGCGCAACATGAAGCTCCAAGCCCGAGCTTCTCGAGCCCTGAGCCTGGCTTCCTTTAGAAACAAAAGTGCTGAGCAGAGCTTGATCTCACATGCAGGGCGTGGGAAACTACTGCCCCCCCCATCCTGGATTTCCTGCCTGCAGCAGCTCATTGTCTACCAGAAACTCCTTTCGATCTGCCGTGGAAGAGGCCCGCCGCCACATGTGCAAGGCCAGCAGCATCAAGGCCTGACCAGCGCGGCGAAGCGAACCCCCCTTCGGTTTGACATCGAACCTCGCAAGGCTTGCATTTCAGTAGCGCGCCCAGTCAAGCTCCACTTTGCCCTGGTTTCCAAGGAGAAGCATGGGCCTCACGCTTCCAGCAACGACAGGTTGAGCCGTGCCCTTGCCGGTGCAGATCTCGTACCAGCACGGCACCATTAAGCTGCTGACACCAAGGATGATGCTGCCATTTCAGAATGTGGGTGCCTGGCTAGCAGACTTCGAGGCAGCTCGGGTACTGTAGCATCCTTGCGAAACAGGGCTCGCGGACGCCCAACACCAGTGGACCAAATGCAGAGCCTGAAGCTGGGCTCCAAAATAGCAAATGCTCATCCTAGACTCAAACTCAACTAGACTCGACAAGCTGGACCGAATTCTTGGGTGTCCACAGCCTTGTGAAACCTTTTTTTCAATTCTTCTACGTCGACATTTCAAGCCTCTGAGCGGGCTGTGGCGCCTGGACCAGGGAGACTTCCTCCACGGCGTCTGGCTCCTCTGACAGTCGCAGAACCAGAAGCAGGCAGCATTCTTTTTGAAAACAAGGGTCCCGACACCTCGTCCTGCACGCCAGCTTGGGCCAACACAGCCTGAGCCTCGGAGTCCGAAGGCAGAGCCGGGGACCACTGGGTTTTCGAGCTTTTGCCGAGGCGCTGCAAGCTTTGTCCTGACATGACTCAAAACGTGAGGCATCGCCGAGTTCCAAGTCGAGTTTCTGATAGTCCTGTGGCCCGGTTTCAGTGGGGCATGGAGCGCCGCCCACGGCAGCAGGTGCGAAGGCGAAGACCTCACTGGCCAGCAGTAGACGTGCCGATACTCTGGAGGACGGTGATCTTGACGGCTGTACGGTCGTCGCAGTATCAGAAAGGCAGTGCTGCCCGAACCTGCCGGAGATCGCGACTTGAGTCCCCGGCGCTACGTCTTCGAACTTCACCTGTGAAGCACGAAAAGGGGTGGAGTGCAGACGGCTAGATGCCGAGAGCTCCTCGCCTCTGGCAGGCGCCCCTGAGAGCTAGGCACGGGCGGCAAGGCCTTCAGCTCACAGGATGACATTGCCACTCACCTACAGCTCCTGCAGATCCTACAGGGGCCTTTGCGGCTCCCTCTGGCGATGCCGGCGGTTGGAGAACATCTTCCTGTCGCTCCTGGTGCCGAAGCAGCGCAACTGGGCTTGCACTATCCAGCACCGGAAAGTGGCAGACTCTCCGCATTGCTTCTGCTCTGAAATTCTCAAGCACTTGCGAACACTGCTTCTGCAACAGACCCGCCTCTTCTTCAGCGTTCAAATACCTACGGGAAGAACAGCAGAAAGCAGCAGCAATTCCAGCGTTGACGTGAAAAGGAAATCGGAAAGTCCATCCCGATACGAAGGTCATTGCGGCTATCGTGCTGCGCCGAGCCTCCGTAACAACCGTCAAGACAACAACGACAACAACCACCACCACCCCCACCCCCACC